AGTATAGATATTCAAGGATTGGGCCTTTGTCTCTCTCTAAACGCACATGCAGATGTGCACACACTACGTGCACAAAAATTTATACAAAATCATATATCTATACACACACACATACATATGTTTATATGACCATATGTAAGAGTTTGGCTGCGTGCTTGTACATATGTGCAAGTGTATTAATAATGTATATCAAGCATGTAATACAGAAATCCGTGGAAACTGGGTGTGAGCTGACAGCTCATTTAGCAAAATGAACTCTCAAGAGATAGAAGTCCCAATGCGTCTGGCAAGATGAACCTCTCCAAGAGAACCATCTTTCGATAGCTCACTTAACGAAATGGATTCCCACCTCATACTAGTTAATACATAGACACACGTCACACGTCACACGCACACAATGCACGACACAAACACGCACGTGCACCCCACCCCCCCCCAACAACCATCTGCACCCCATACCCCAACCACCCCTCCACACAAACACACATAGACATGGCCTTTTTATTCCTAGGGCACAACCAGCTTAACTATGCCCTATGCAAGATGACCACATTTACCCTTCTGTAATCAATGTAGCAAGGATAATAGTAGTAATTAAAAAGTATGGCATGTCAATTAATCTCTTGTAACTCATGAGATGTTATATCAATTTCTCATGAGATGTCCTGGTCATTAATTTTCATCCTAGGTTGCATGGGTACGGCTACGGGCACAGGCACGGGTAGGGGACACAACAAACTTGTGGGATGGTAGGGGAATACGTTTAAGAAGTGTTTTAAATTAAAACATGTATTATATAATTGAGTATAGACCCGAATAAACATATGCATAATTGCATATATTCAAGAAGTGTCCAAGAGTTTTAGGTACGGGTATGGGTATGGTGACATGTCGGATACAAGTACGGCTTCCTAATAGAAGTACCCAAGTAACATAGTTTTCATTTAACTTCATTAATGAATTCCACCCTTTCATCTATAGATGTAAAGTTGAAAAGGAAAGGTGTCGCATGGGGTGCACTTTCCATGCAACTAATCTCACCCACATCTAGGGTTGAGATTCCTCCATCCGACTTACTAAGGACCAAACTTTGTCCTTAGTACCAAAGATACACATAGTCCTCGCATACATACATATATGTGTCGGTGAGGCATACAAGTGTCCTTCATACCGCCCCTAGATATGGGTGAGATTAGTCGAATGTAAAGTACAACCTAGTGTTATCAATGCCTGATGCGCCATGCAAGGCGCAAAGTCCCTTTACACGCACATGCACAAGGTGCAATGCAATGTGCGCGCCCCAATAAAGCGAGGCGCACACTTCGAGATAGATATTCAATGAATGAAAGGACATATTTATGAAATTACATAAAATTTTATCAAGATAAATAATACTCACTACATCATCACAATATTAGGTCTTAATTCATAATGCTAACGCACTGAACATATAGTAAAGTTAAAATTTTTCCAAATCAAAATTCAATCAAGACTAATATTGAAGGAAAATCAACTAGGAAATGAGAATGAGTTAGACTCCTCAATCAAGTTACTAAAATAGCCTAATTGGTTCATTTTTCTTTTTAGTATATTGGTTATTGGATATCAAGACTCTTTTAAAATGTTAAAGAACAAATACATATGAGGCTATGCTTTGCATGCACCCTATATGAAGCGCCCTCACTTGCGAAGCAAAAAAGGTGCTTCCACATAAATGTCGGGCACTTCATCACCGTCCTGCATCACAAGGCGCATGAGGCGCTCTCCTTTGATAACATTGGTACAACTCATTAGACATCTTTTCACTTTCAACTTTACAACCTAAAATGTAGGGTTTAGATTCCTCCACCTCACTACCAATGACCAACTTTGTTCTTGCTAC